ATTCCATCAGTCGTAAGAAGTGACAATGGTCCTCAGTACACTGCCACAAAGTACAAGCAGTTCGCACAAAATTGGAATTTCGAGCACCAGACTTCAAGTCCATATTATCCGAAATCAAACGGTTTGGCTGAGAAAGCAGTTCAAATTGTGAAACGTTTGCTATCGAAAGCAAAACAAGATGGAAAAGATCCGTACCTAAGTTTGTTGGAGTATCGCAACACACCCATAGGTAACGTGGCTTCACCAGCACAAATATTGATGAGCCGACGTTTGCGTTCGCACTTACCAACTACCCCAAATCAACTTCAGCCAAAAGTTGTTGATCCTGAGAGAATGAAAGAAAAGTTCGAAGAAAAACAAAGAAAGCAAAAACGATATTATGACAGAGGGTCCACGGAGCTTCCGGCAGTGCAAGAAGGAGAAGCAGTACGAGTACAAGTACAGAATAAGTGGAAACCAGCAGTGATCAAAGAGAAACTGGAAACACCGAGATCGTACATCATTCAAACACCCAATGGTCAACGATTTAGAAGAAACAGAAATCATATCAGAAAGCAGAAGTATGGTGTTCAGATATCAAGACAGTGGGAACCAATTGAAGATTTCCAGTCTGATGGTGCCAGAGAAGTTCGTGAGGAACAAGTCTCAGAGCCAAGTACTGGACAATATTATAAAACTAGAAGCGGACGATTGAGTAAGCCACCTGAGAGATATCAAGCATGTTAATTTAGTTAATTAAGGTTATCATGAACATTTTATTTACGAGACATTTAGATTTAGATTTAGATTGACTATTAAGTTAAATATATAATGGTTATATATAATGAACATTAGTCGTGAACTAGTATTATTAAGTATTATCATCGAACAGTAATAGACACTTAGTTTAATTAGAGACCTTATACAATTTTAAATAACTTTAAAATTAAAAAAAAAAGAGAATTGTAATATATTCAGTATATATGCATGCTAATTAGATTCATGTATATAAGGGTTGTTTTTGTAACATAATAGACAGACTAATAACATAACATTGAATTATTCACAAATCAGTAAGGAATTTATCCAAAATAGCAGACATTTTCAGTAATAGTTCAATTGATCTATGGGCGAGATATGAAAGAGCTATTATGCATGTATTTTCACGTGCTAATGGGTATAACTCCCAGTTTCACCTGCATAATGTTGGCTACAAATTATAACAACTTAAGTAACCTAATAATTAGTAGAAATAATTAATAGGTTAATACAGTCATAGTTTGGAAAATTAAATTAGCGCGCGACTTTAATTTGCTGTATGGTGCACCAAGATCAGTAAGTAACTATTTATTTTTTGTGCAGACGGTATGCCAAGACGTCTTCTAATTTTGAGGATGATCATATGAAAAAAGGCATAGATGAAAAAGCAGAGGTAAGTTAAGCTTGTAACAATATTCCATGCTGGTGAGATAGAAAAAAACGAATAATGATATTAGCATTCCCTGATCACAATTATATAATTGAAGCACAGTTGTGATAACCTTTTGCCGGTGTTTCAAAATACATAGTCATTATTGATAGACCTGCAGTGAAAGAGATTCGGTGAAATATTTCCAGAAGTGATTATTGCCGATGCCGGAAATATTTACCAATTTCTCAAAAAAGACAAAATACTCTAAAAATTGTCGATCGAAGATTCAAAATCAGTGTTGTAACAAGTCGAGTTATCGGACACGAGTCGCTATTTTCATGTTATTAATTGACTAAAGTAATGACTGACTGCGAGCCAGGGTACTGAACCATTACAGAAAGTGTGGGGTGGACTTAACCAAATTCTCAGACTCAACTCAAGTTTAGTTATTGATTCGACTCATCTTGAACAATGCATTGACTTGAACCGAATTCAATTCAACTCGTAACTCGACCTTGGCGTTTGACCGACGACCTTTAACTAACTAAACTAACTACTTTTTTGCCTCCCCCCCCCCCCCCCCCCACCGCAGGTCAAAGTCGATCCTTTTCTATAAAAATTAAGCAAAACATTGGAAGAAAAATGGAATTTAGAAGGGAGGTTTGAATATTAATAACATGTCGTGCCTTGACTTTTGTCTCCAAATGATTCAATGTCGTTTAAAAATGCTAAACTTTGTATTGTATATGCCTTACGTAATATCCCAGACCTTATAGATTTGAGTTGTTGGAAGGCTAGCCGGCTAGGTTAAAAAAGTTAGTGACCGAGTCAGTGCTTCCATTTCCAAAATCAAAATTTCCCATTTTTGTCATCAAATTTTCTCTAAATTCCTTAGATTGAATACGTTATTTCCTTGAAATTTCCTTGAAATTTTATTAAGCAGTTTGCAGTGATTTTGTAGCAATACAAAGGATTTAATTAATTTTAAAGGCCAAAAATAGGACAATTAACACAGATGTGGGCTAGCTAAAAATCACAGGCTATTATACAATTTAAATATTAAATATTTGTTATGAATTTACAACATATACATTTCCACTGATATAATTAATTAACTATTCAAAGTGTTTGGCGCCAAAAGTTACTAAATCCCATCGCTCAAAAACTTTCGTATGTTTTCGGAGACATGAAGAAAAAGTTATAAACAGATTTTTAATTAAACGTAATTGACAATTCACTCAATAATAAAAAAAAATGGTGAAACCTTCTTCTGCACCAATGCACTTGGATGAATATCTAAGTTTTTCGGAAAAATCCTCAGATTTCCTTAGATTTTTTCTCTTCCTTAGATTTTCCTTTTCGACCATAGAATTTCCTTAGAAAAGGAAATTTCCTTGAAAATGGAAGCACTGGACCGAGTTGTGGTATTTACATAAACATGCATATAGCCTACCATGAAGATTCAGTCTATCTACAGTATAATGTATTAATTTAAAACGCTGTATATCCAAACGTTTGTTTCAGAAAACGTGCTAGGAGTGGGAAAATACAAAACGTTTCTGGTTTTTAGTGGGGGTGTTGGATTCTACATAAGTAATACTGTTAACTCGTGTAGTATTAATTACAACTGCATGGTATTGGTTGGTTGGGTCGACGAAAAAACAATACAAACATAATAGGATTGTTTTGGGTGCATGTATTTTATACGTCTTTTAACGTAAACTACTATATAGTCTGCAACATTTTGGGAAACGATATTGTTTACAGTTCGAAAACTCTTATCAGTTATCAAAACTTCGCGTGTATTTTTCCTTACTATCATGGCTGTTTTACTGCCTGGCAAAATATTTCCATAGCTCACGAGCTATATATTGTAAAAAACTTTTTACTGGGTTGTTTGCAAAAAGTAAACAAAAAATGCTCATATTCATGTTTACGCTCTTTATTTCTAGACTATATTTTACCTATACACTAATACATCGGTAAAGTCTGCATCCATAAAGAGATGTGATGAAGATAAAACAACGAAAATGACCAAAACAAAATTTCCAAAGGATGAAATAGGTTATTTATGGGAAGCAAGAATTAGTTCCACTTCCACTGCTGACATTCAGTACTACTACACGTTAGAACGAAAGTACAACAGTTCTACATTAAGTGATAATACACTTCGATGTACTGAACCAAGATCAACCAATTACGATAGTTTTCATGAAAAAAATTATTCTTGTCCCTTCTCAGAACGGGCGACTATCTGCTACAGCAAGTGGTTTTTTGAAACGGTCAATGAACTACAGAACTTCGATGCATATCTAACTGCGATAAAGAGAATGAATTTTAACTTTCAACAGCTAGATTCGAAAGTTTTAAAAACGTTTGTGAGTTGGATTTTTGAGCAAGAGACGAAGGACAATATTCCAAAATGTCTGTATTTGGGAGCTCTCCTAGCTCTGGTAGATAAGAACAACGCTTTCGATTGGCAGAGAAAGTCTGACGAGCATTTATGTAAGCGGTTTGCTGACCATTTCCTTGACGTCCTACGAACGCAAGAGGCAATTTTTCTATTGAACGACAGAAAAACCCTAGTAAACTCTCTGATACGTCTCGCCCCCAAATTGGTGAACGCCAGCAGCTTCCCTAGATGGATTTCGTATGTCACATCATTTTACCCTTACTTTGGCGTGAAGCAGATATTATCGGAAAGTTTTACATTTAAAAAGGGCCCGGAATATTCGCAAGAAAAATATGTTGAGTTAGTAGACTGGTTAACCCAACATATGACCCGTGATCATGCGAAGGATTTGCAAGAGAAGTTTCTTCAAATACTCGAAAGAATCTTGTTCGAAGCACCTGACATGGACGCTGTTGTTTCTTTGTACAATAATAGCGCGTTCTTGAACTTGTTCCTTAAAGGAAAAGAACAAACTGAGGTATTTGGAAAAGTGTTTATAAAGAAGGCCAAAGATATCTTAATAGATAACAAGGGACGCCTTTCTAAAGCGCTAACAGAGATTCCAAAAATACCTGATAAATTGCAGAAGCAGTCAATCAAAGCCATACTTCTAGATTTCATTGAGCTTCCCTCATCCGATTCTTCCGATCGTGACAAGGAGAACAATTCTTCTGATTTCTGCAATGAAATGTCTCGTGAGAATCGTCTGTCTCTTGGAGAAATTACATCTGTCATCCATGCTTTGGTGACGTCCAATCAACTTCATTGTCATGGTATATTTTTACATCTATTGACTAGCAATTTTTATGAAATGTGGTGGGAAAAGTTGGGTAAAGATCAACATGTCTCTATTTTATCCAAATGGATAGCAGTGGATCTTGCTGACCACCCAAGTAAAGCATTACAATGTCAGCCTCGTGATGTATTCGAACGAGCGGCAGAATTGGAAAGGTTGAACATTTTCAGCGTTGGTTTAATCGAAGAAGCATGCTTTAAAGGATTCGAGAGAAAAAATAAAGATGCAAATAACTTTACACTTGCTTCAATGCTCGAAGCCTTGGCCACGATTGAAGGGCTATCCCAGCCCCTCCAAGAATGTTACAAGAAACTATTTGGCTCTATGCTCAAAAAGTCGTCAGCAGTTAAGGAGGATATTATTTATTGTAGCAAAAAGAAGAGTTGGTGCACCGATATCCCGCAGAAAATTTCAAGGTGGGCATTAATTTTTAACCACGAGCATTAATTTTTAACCATTCAATTTTGAATGCAAATTTTGGGCATCTCATTTGATTGTGAATGTAGACGGGTTTTTAGTGCATGTTAAAAAATATGTACAATTTTTGACCTAATCTGGATCAACTGCGAAAAATGAAACTTTAAAGATGATTTCCACAGAAACATTGCCAAAATTTTGCATTTTTCAAACTTTTTTGAATTGAAACGTACAGTTTATATTCATTTACAAGCATAGTGAACCAGAAAAGTGTTAGATATTCAGTTAGTATATCATATTTTACAAATATAGCAGTTCAAAACGTAAACAAAGTTCGCGCATGTGCACAGGGAGTGGACATCATCTTTAAGCAATGGAACTGTATTTACATTTTCGTTCGAAAATTTCATGTACTAAATACTCATCTACAACTAGGTCCAGACGCCTGCGGTTGATACAATTATCTGAAAATATAAACAAAAACTCTACTGGCACCGACCGTTCGATATTCCATCCATTCAGCAGTCTTACGAACGAGATGCCTAAAATCTTTACCAGCCATATACCAACTATACTGTTACTGTATATACTAGTTGACCTACATCTAAGGACGAAAGCAGACTTATAGCCTCATTAATATCATTACCGAGACGTAAGCATAAGCCACTGGTTGCTGCTTTTGAATTTGCATGCTTAAAGCCCGCCGCACACGAGCGCACTTGTCGCACGTACTTGTTATTCGTGACAAGTTGGATCGACAAAATTTCCTCGTGTGCGGGTAACCTTTACGGCATTTTCGTCATTCGTGACATGTAAACCAAATATCAAACATGTTTGATATTTTTCGTCATTCGTGACAGAAAATTCTCGTGTGCGGCGAGCAAACGACAAGCGCGCCTGAATAGGAAAATTTGCGCATGCGTGCAACTTGCAGAATTAAAAACAACATGGCGGATCA